CGTTCAAATATTGTTTTGGACTATGAACGTTTAAATGTAGTCAGTACTGTATTTGTTTGCTTATATGTTTGTTTGCTTATTGTATTTATGTATTTATGTGGTAATTATTTATTTTTATGTATTGATGTAATGTAAAAGATGTTTGTATAGTTTCTATTGTATGATAATTTTTAAAGAATCTAAAATGTTATATGTTAAATTTTATAGATATCAGAAGTGTAATGAAAAATTATAATTAGGGAAATCTAAAATCAATTAAAGATTGCTCCAAGAATCTATATCATTTAACGTAGAATACATTTTGATTCCTTAATTATTGTATAGGATTTTTGAATATTATTACATTTGATCATATATTGATGATAGATATAATTAATGAATTCATATTTGATACATATGATTATATATTAATTTATCTGATTTATTTAATGAGTTTCATTTGTTTCACCTGTTATTTATATGAATAATTATATATAGGGTATTTCATTTCAATTAATAATAAATGCATTTAGCTTTCTAATTATTTGTTATTCAAAAAATGTATTAAAAGAAATTTTTTTTATAGGAAAAAAAAATAATTTAATATAATTAAATTTTTTAGATAAGTGCTAAGAAAACATATGAAAATGTTTTATAAATAATACAGTATTATTAATTTATATTGATTTAAAATATTTTAATTATTTATGCTTTCCTTGTTTTTCTTATGATAAATTAAAATATTTCCTAAATATGATTGGTACATTAAAAATGATTCTATGTAAAAAAATAATGTTGACTTTTATATATCCATGTATATTAAATTATTTTTCCTTTAAAGCAAAATAAATTTCCTTTTATACATTTTTTAAAGAATTCAAGAAACAAATGTATTTATAGATTAAAATAGACTATGACATATTGAATTATTCTTTTTGTTATAACATAAATATAATTTCAAGGAATTTTACAATCTTTTTTTTTTTAAATATTTATCTGAATTTCAGGTATCTTCATTGCTTTAAATTTTCCTTGATCAAATTGTAAGCAATTGTGAAATTTCTTCGTATTTTTCTTCTCTCTCTATACAAAGAATCTTGTTATTAAGTATTATCATCGCTTGTCATCGATCGATGTCTATCATATATTAAAACATATGAAAGTTCAAAGTTCATCCTAAGAATGTGATTATTACACTAATGATATCTATTCATTGCTTGAGCTTCTAATTAAATGAAAATCATGAAAATAACTTGTGATACTCACTCTTTTCTCCATGTGTTATTCCACAGTGAAAGTATTTGTAATTGTAGAGTTAGAATAAACGCTCCATGCCATCTATTCTTTCGCTTTTGATGACGCATGATTTTCTCAACATTAATGTATATATTGTTGAGCAAATAGAAATAATAATCAATTAGGATTACTTATCTATTCGCAGTTTGTATTATTGCTTATTAAACATTACTATTATTGAACTGTGTCAATAGAAAAAGCAACTGTGATGAACATTTTGATTAAATACTGAATTTTTAACCGATCAAAAAATTAATTTCTGGTGATGAAATATGTACTATTTATCTATTTTGAGAAAATATATAAAATAATAAAAATAAAAACGTATCTCGTGATTCACGTTGCAATGGATTATCGCTGCTACTTTGTTGAAATTCTTATTATAGCCAGCCATATGTTCTTTTGCGAATAGAAATGCTTGAAAAAATCTTGACTATATTATTTTCTTCGTAATTGTAATCTGCCATTGTTATTATATTTGGCATTCATTATGTGCTCAATTGTGCCGCTTGTGAAATTAATTACGATTGCAGATTCTCGGAACTTGAAGCTCGTTAGAAGAATAAACGGAAAATCAGATTTATCTCTATGTCCTAGAAATCTCATGCTGATGAAGTTTTTGTTTGGTAATTTACAGAATTTTATAAAAAATCTTTCATAACGTATAAAATACGTTCAGAATGATTTTTTTTTATTCTTTGTTTTCATATGATTTTTTCCTTTTTATTCCATTAGATTTTTGCAAAATTTTTAAGATTAATTAATTTTATTATCAAATAATTATATTTTAAAAATATTATAGATTAAAGAAATATAAATGAAAGATATAATAATGCAATTTGTCTATAAAAATAATATAATTCTTACATTGGTTTTTTTATCTTTTTAAAAGATAACTACGGCCTACTCTTCTGATAAGGATGATATTAAAGATAAGAAATGTTAGAAATCGTAAATAGTATGAAAATAATATGATAAAATACGTTGTATCATATAACATATAATTTATATATATGTGTACTTTAAAATTATGAATTCTATATTGAAATCATAAAACAAGCCTCAAATTTTATCTAAAAACAGAAATTGTATAATTAATAAGTTTGTGAAGTGATATTAGCATTTGAAATTTGAATAATAGTCTTTTACCATGTAAAGAATAATAATGAACAAGTATTAAGTAAAAAATGATTTGAATTTTCTTTGATACAGATCTCAAGATAAAAGTATTTGCACCCACGGATGTTCCGTTGACATTAGAATGTGCAAATAAAAGCGCAGGAGAGAAGTTACTATGGTATAAAGAAAGAGTTTTGATCCATACAGCGTTAGCTGGTAACGAGGACTTAATAAAACTAAATAATGAAACAGGCGTTCTGGAACTTCTGAAAACCTCAGATGTGTTGTACGGGAATTATACTTGCAAAGGAACCAATTCTTCTACAGAATATAGGATCGTACGTAAGTATCTTTTTAAAATAATTCTAAAAATGGTAAAGTTTTTAGAATGAAACTATTTTCTTTTATTTATTTTATTCTTATTTTTCATTTCAACAATTTTAATTTTAACAAATTAACATTCTAATTTTTTTTTAATACAACCATACCAATTCCTTTTAATTCATCAATTTTAAAAATGTTTACTGTTTGCAGCAAGACCCACGGCGTACATGCCTGATTCAACAAGCGTAGTAGAAGGAGAAAAACTGCATTTAACTTGTGCTGGTAAGCAAAATCCTGGTATCAAAGTATCATGGAAGTTTGGGGACCAGAATTACACGCGTAGCATGGGCCGCGTTAAACTTGGATGGGACCATGAAAGAAATATATATGGCGCTATCCTAATGGTTGAAAACATCGAGATGAACGATCGTGGCAATGTTTACTGCAGGGTATCTTATAACTGGTCTGATACTGCAGAAAATCACATGGCAGAGGCGCATACATTCCTCAGGGTCAAAGATAAGCTCGCCGCACTCTGGCCCTTTTTAGGCATTTGCGCGGAGGTTGTTATTTTGTGCGCCATTATTTTAGTTTATGAGAAAAAGCGAAACAAGGCTGAACTCGAGGAGTCTGATACCGATCAAAGCCCCGACACGTATGTATATTTCTTCGTTCTTATAATTTTCATATAAAAATTGTTCTCATTTTAAACTATTTGAAATTTCAACTCTATAGAGGACCGAGTAGAAGAGATGATAGATTGGAGTATTATATTCCATTGCACGGGCCTCTCCCACCCTCTGAACTTCCTGTCGATCCCCCTGTTACACCATCAAAACCAGAATTCCCAGGTCAAAGGGCCATCCAACAATTGCTCTTTTCCAAAGAATCACGTCGTTCATCTGCACCTGCGCGGTTGAGTTTATCCCGCTATTGCTTTAAATCTTTCCCTCTGAAGTCGTGCCGTCGCTTTCAGCTATATTGGCGCTTATCCAAAAGAGAATACTGTGAAAGTAAAGAAATACGAACTTAAAGTTTTATTTCTGAAGAAAGTATATGATTCGATTGTCATCAAATTTCAAATTATATGCAAATCATTTCATAAATAGGTGGCTAAATATTTAGGTTAGATCAATCGCGGAATTGCTTTTGTTAATAATACTTTCAGTATAAATAATTTAATTACACTTTTTTGTAGATCATTATTATTGCAATTAATTTGATAATTTGGATAGTATTCAATAATATAGATCTTTGAAGACATATGAAAAAATTTTTGTTATTTTAGTTTATTAGATGTATAATATTACGTATCAAAACATATAATGTATATTACAAAAATTAAGACGAAGAAAAAGAAAACGCTTGTTAAGCTTTTCATCATGCCACCTATATTTGAAATATCTTGTATATATAATAACATCACCATTTATTGATTATTACACTGTGCGTGACTCATCCTCGTAACTAGTCACCTTCGAACAGTATCGATCTTATTTAATAATTGTTTTTATTTCATTCCGCAGCAAGCCAACACCCAACAAAGACTCCGACGTTAGACAAAGAAAGTGAAGGAGTGGATAATAAGCGGCGAATGAATGAGAGCGATGCAGGATAGCTGAATCAATGTGGGAAAATAATCGTGTGGCATCTGCCGAAGTGACAATATAGATAACTGTTACAAGAAAGAAAAATAGCGAAATAGAACAAAAATAAAGAAACAAACTATTCCGAAACGAGAGAAAGACATCGTTCGAAGCGGAAACATGAATATAAGAGTAAGAAAAAAAATAATAGGAAAAGAAACGATATAATGTTCTAAGTGAATAGGCTAAGCTCAGGAAGTGAGATCCCCGGCCCTCGTCATTCGAGTGCATACCTGAATGGATACAGGCTTGTCTATGCACAGAAAATGTTAGCGTGCGCGGAATTATAATTTACTAACAGATTTAAATTAAGCCTTACTATCGTGTTCACTCCATTTATCAAATGTTCGTCTGTCCGTACTCTCTTATTACACTGCTTTGATCGATGAAAGCTAAAAAAAAAAAAAAAAAAAAAAAAAAAAAAAAAAAAAAAAA